AGTATGAGCGACTCTGCAAAGCAATCAGTGGGAGATTTTTTTAAATGCCAATTTTGTACTCATTGGGTTTCAGTATACAAGCTTATCACCAGTTTGCTCTGCACCTATTCATTTTCATGCTACGTCTTGGAGGATGGGGACGAGAACATCTTAGGGAGGGGGCGTCATATCAGCTGCTGAGCCGGAGCAGACTCACAGCAGAGCCTGGGGTATTCTGCTCGTCTCCATCCAGTACCCAAGCTGAAGGGTTCTTTACAGGGGGCCAAGGAAGAGCTACGTCTCCCACAGTTCCAGGGGCCCAGGGCCAGGGGGGCCTGAGGTCTTGGTGCACACATGCCCCAGGAGAAACAAGGAGACCCCACAAGACCTCCAAGTGATGATAAAATAACAAAAAGATGGCAAGCATGGGTCCAGTGAGGGCCCTGTGTCCCGAGACGCTCACATGGACCGGACGCTGACCTGTCCGAATCGCACCCTGGAGCAACCTGTAGAGGAGCTGAGGCGTTAGCACGGCCACAGCCCACATCGTCCGTGGATTCTCGGAGCACACGAATGGCCAGTCCTGTCCTCCAAGATACAGCCTGAATAACTTACTGTGAAAAAGCCTCGGTGATGTCCGCTGTGGACTGCATCACAGCAGATGTGAGTGGCTCTAATGGGACTCTTGCCTGGGTCAGTACTTCTCGGACCTCGTCCGGGTACGTGAGAAACCAGATACACCTACCTACTCACTAAAACTTGGTGTGTTATAGGGTACCGTGTTCAGCAAAGTAATACCATATATAAGGAAATTCTGTTTTAATAAACTGAAACTTTAAAAATTTTTATCGTTTCATCACTGAATTATTTCTAGTTCTAATTATTTCTATTTCTCTATAATTAAGGAGTCTTAGTTTGGTCACAATAGAATTCCTAGTGAAATTCCTAATAAAGCCAGTGTAAAGGAGCGTGGTGAGATCGCCCACAGAGGGTCTGATAAAGTATCATGACATCTGGTAAATATTGACAGACAGCTGTTTGTCTTTTCCATACTATTTTATTGATTCTGTGAGGAGTTTTAGTTTTAATTTAACCTGGTAAAACAGCTAAATCAACTTGTTATTCTTCATTTTGATGGAAAGAAAAATATATGAATAATCAAAATGATTTCTCAGCCTTCGAATATGATATTTGACTTGGAAAACAACTTTTTCCCCAACTCTGATTAGGAGCCCTCCTTTTCTGAACCCTCATTCACTAAAGTCTGGAGATGACCTTGGCAAGAACTGGTTTCCAGGAACATAGGGATTTGGGACCCAAGATTTGCTGTGCTGTTTGCACATCAGTAATTAAAAAATAACTAAAATTTAGAGTGAAATGCTTCATTTGGTCAATATTTCTTCAGTCATTTTTTTAGATTAATAACATAAATTCCCAAGAATTGAAATGACTTTCCTATTATGTACAGCAACAGCAAATCACATAGGTGATGTTGCTTTCATAGATAAAATTCTAGGAAACATATCATCGCTGTTTAAATTTGTGCTAAGATACATAAAAGGAAGAAACAATGAGGAATTCCTACATTTATATATACTATGCCAAATTTGTGTATTATTTTCAAGACCTCTACCCTTATTTTCATAAATCAGAGTTCTCAAATTCAATTTTAGTGGAAGCTCCCTAAATGGTCAAAAGTATGTGCTGCTTAATTTGCAGAAACTAACTTCATGGGTAGACTTTCCAGATAGAAGCTTCACAACACTCTGCATATTTTTCTAAAGCCTTTGGCAGTGCTCAGATTTCATAGGAGCTCAGTAACGATCTGCCGAACATGTGCATGTCAGCCGGTGGCAGAGTCATTGGTCATTCATGGAGAAGCACAAATTACAACTCGTGTGATTCCATTTATTTATTCTATATGAGTATTGAGAGTTGATTTTATACCATGTATGCTTATAATGTTAATAGTTTCTACTGGATAAATTGTTCCGAGGTCATATGATTATGTTTTTAGGATATTTCACAAAGATGATAGTGTTTCTGAGGTCCCTTATCCCTTAGATTGAGGTTTGGTGCTTTGTTTCGTTGATTTGAGATAAGCTCTTGCCCGAGTTTCCTGGGCTGGCCTTTGAACTTGCAATCCTTCTGTCTCAGCCTCTTGTGTAGTTGAGATTACAGGCATGTGCTATGCTACCCAGTTTGGGTTGTTTTGAACTCACTGATGAATTAAAATGCTAGTTATTGTGTCTTGCTGTTGGTGAATGGCTAAGACTGTGACATCCCAAGAGTTCGTTAAGAAGAGGAGAAGCAGTTTTTGAAATACTTACTTTTGGTGAAGAACAGAATTACAAAGAAATGTGTAGAATTGCTCAATGCTTTTTAATGTCACACTTAGGTCCAGTGGATTCCTTGTATCTTTCATATATGTGTGAAGTAGGGCACTGCCTGTTGAGGTCATTCAGGCCCTGACTTAATTAGCACCATGTTCCTGGGGTTGCCATCCTGATGCTGGTGTCACAGGGGCACCGAGTGGGAGTCATCTGTGAATAGAGTATCAGTCGCATGCCAGCCACAAACACCGCCAACCGTAAGGACAGGGAAGGAGAACTCTGGAGTGTCACTGCTTGTCTCTACCCAGTGACCAGGGAGGGGAGTGGGAGTGGGAGTGGCAGGGTGGCCTTCCCCTTTTCTGCATGTCCCCAGCATTGTCACATGTGGGGAGGTGCCAGTGTGCCCAGTGCTGCTGGCCTGAGAGGCTCTGTGCCCCCAGCGGAGTCTGTGGTCCCTGCAGTAGCCATCTCCAGCCACGGCGTTTATTTCCTTTGCAGAGATTTTGCTCGGCCTAACTTTTGGGGCTTGTCTAGCCCATCACAGTAAACTGAACAATGCACTTGCACCCAGGTGTCCTGTTGGCTAAGCCAAGGTTCACTAGGGCCCCTTAAGGTTTCTTCTCATTTTTCCCTTTAACCTTGTCTGAAGTTGAGGATTATCTCCAAATCTGTAGACCTGTGTTCAGCAGGCAGGGACAGAGACTCTCTGATCAGTTTAATTTCTCTGGCTTGGATGAGTTACAGCTTCATACAGTCATCAGAGTGCTTAGTTACAGAGAGTGCATGACACGGATGTGACCCCTCACAGGCGAGGCAGCAGCACCCTCGTGTGAACTGCAGGGGGAGGGAGCTGCAGAGCTTGGCGCTGGACGGGGCGGCTCTGTGGGCAGTGTGCTCATGTTTACTGTGGAGCCGCTTTGTGCAGACTGGCGAAACAGATGTAGCAGAACTTGGAGCGATGCTCTGCATTGTGTGCTGCTAACAAGTCCCATTTAAAGGCCCCGCAGTAAACTAAACCACACTCGTGTGCACACATGTGCACACATATGCCCACACATATGCCCACACACTGCATATGCAGGACGTTTTTTGGGCAACTTTACAAAAAGTAGTGATGGTTGCCTGTGAAAATTTTCTCATCCATCAATAGCAGTGAACCACAGAAACCTCCTGGGAGTAATCTGTGCCAAGTTTAACATATCTTTAATTTAAAATTCAGTTTTGCATAGTTGTAAAATATAAATTTTGTAACATGGGACCTTAGCTAAAATTTTATACTGGAAGTCTAAACAGGTACAGTACATATATTTATATCATGAGATCCACTAAACTTGTATATGTTCAGGTTAGTTTTTGTTAAGTAGGACAAATGTAACCCACCTTTAAAATATTATAAGAAGGAATAAACAATACAGAACTGTTTCATTGGTTGGTACTGATATAGCTAGTTAGAAAATAATGACGTTTGCTATTCTTTGCTAACTTGTTTTATGTTGTTAATAATTTAAAATATTTTTCTGAGAAATTGCTTTATTCAAAATTGGCAATTAAAAAACACTGAAGAAACGGTATCCTTTTATATTTTTTCTATCTCATGCATAACCAAGTCATAAATAACTTTCTTTAATTTGTGATCCAGAATTTAATTTATGCTTTGACTATTTTCTGCTTAGAGTATACTTGATATTTTATTATTCTGTTTTAAGTAATGGTGGCTTCTTTAAAAATTGAAAACAATAAAACAAAATACTAATTTGTTGTAAACCTAATCAGTAATAGCAAAAACCCTAGCACACAATAGTATTGTGTTTGTTTAAGAATATGAAGCAATAATTCTGGATCAGAGGTTAAATTATTGCTTCGGTTGAGTTCAATTTGACTTAAAAATTTTTCCTGTTATCCAGCAGAAGACTTCAATTTTAAATAAGACAAATATATTTAAAATTCATTTTAAAGTAGCTTTAAACAGGGAAGTCATAGGAAGTAATCGAAAGGAAGTAATCCAAGTCATCTCTTCGCTTACCTCTAGGATGCGAGGCGGGGAACCGCCCATTAGCAGTAGTGTCTCCCCTGCCCTTCCTTCTCAGTGGCTTGTGCATGCCCCTGCACGTGAAATGGCTGAGCTTTTACAGTTATTGCCATTGACAACCAAAACAGCCATGCAAGAAGAAAATGCTGTGAAAGGGAAGGAAAATATGTTAACATTTCCTCCCCAGAGTTGGTGAAACAGGTAAGTAAAGATGTTTACATTTAAAAACTACCAGCCTTGGTTACTAATTGATCAAAAGTTTTAATTTTTTTCAGATGTTTGTACAACACTCATTTAAATAAAAGGATACTGTCTCTAAGAACCAAATATTAATATTCTGAAAATGAAAAATTGGATTGGAAGAAAACAGTGTCACACAAGGTCTGAAATATTTTAGTCAGAATTTGGACTATAGAGGAATAGCATAACTTCAGTTATTGTTTAATATTTTTGTTATAAAATGTTTTTAATAACAAAATGGTGACTATAATATTACTATTATAAACATGTCCCAGATTTTTTTTTTTTTGTTTCAGAGCAGCACTGAGAGTTGAATGTGTGTAAGTCTCCGGGAATGTAACAAGTTGATAAATACCCAAGTCCAGCCTCCTTACAGAGAAAAGATCTGGAATTTCTTTTTTTGGACATTTGTTTTGCAGCTTTCTACGTCTTAAGGCAGAGAATAGCCAGGATAAGGTGCCAGCTTCCAGGTTAGATGATCATATTTCTTGAAATAATTGTGGCTAATCTATGTCTTGAAGGACATAACTTCTAAATAATAACTTTATAAGGCTATAAACAAAACAGTAGTCATGTTTTTGAGTTCTTTCTGGGGAAACTATTCCTTAACAATATGTTCATTCTGTTTATAATTCTACTAAATTAATTTTAATTCAGTTATTACATTTAGCTTTTCCTTTTTGCTCTATAATTAATTTGTCCTGTTTTACGAATCTAATGAATTGACCTGCATTCTAAACCTAAAACACAGTTTATATTTTTAATAATTAACCAAATAAAAAAATTCACCAAATGAAACTACTAATACCAAACTATCATTAACCTGAGGGAATTGTGTTTCATGCTCATTAATTCTCCATGGAATTTCAGGTAAGAAATGTTTTGATTATCTGAAATGTACAAGCTATTTTAATTAATAGCCCTTATGGGTCTTTATGCTGTTGTTTTGTCACACAAAGAGTTTATTGTTCCAAGTGTATTGGCCATGAATAAATCAACCTATAACATTTTAGTGGAAAATGGTGGTAAAATTCTCATGTTCAACGGAACTGGGTCCATGTGGACAGTCTACCTTAAACCGAATGAGGAAAGATACTACAGATAACACAGAAAATGTTTTCAAGGTAGAATTTTAATTTAAAAAAGCATTTGGGAACAAAATTAATGTTTCTAGAAATAAAAATTAAATGCTTCTTTGTTCAGGGAGAATTAAAACACCAAAGCACGCACACATCATGGTAAGTAGCAGTTACAGGTTGGAGTGACGGCTTGGGGAGGTGATATCAGAGAGCAGAGCGGATCTGGCACTGACAGACACGGATTTGGGACCTTTCCCTCTGACTCACAGGCTTTGAGAAAATAGACATTTTATTTAATGTTTAGAGGGATGCGCTTCTAATCTTCATACTGCTTTGCTAGAGGACTGCTGGCCATCAGTGCAACGCTATCTAGAGAGCGGTTATCATCAGTGTTGCAACCATTGTTACGTGGTCTGAATGTAGAGCAGGAAGAACTCTGAGCGTGTCTTATTGGGGCCCGTCACAGGCCGCGTGGCGCAACCCCTGTGGAAGTGAGGTTTGTTCATTGTGACTCTCTTTTGGAACTCAGTTGGGAGTAGAAAGTTTCTCCTGTTATTAATGTCTGAAATAAAACCCTTCATGGATAGCTGTGTTTCTGCACTATTTCTTTCGCATTTTTCTAATAAGATCCATCCACAGATCTCAGAGTGGAACAGTTTTGCTTCCTTAACAGTGTTTGCACTTGAAAAAGAATGAGGAGGAAACAGGCTGGACTTGGGGGACTCAGCATTTATAGAGTTTTGGGTTTACCTGAGAAACAGTCGAGAGCTCACTGGAGGCCAGGAGCCAAGATTTGGTGATAGGAAGGTACAAGGTGGAGGGAAGTGGGAACGTCCAGGAATCAGCGTAGGAGGGGATCGGCTTTTATTCCTCCTGTGGTTTTAAGCTGGAGGCAGGTGTGAGAGTGGAGGGCACGTGGGAGGAGTCTCCTTTTCTGCTCGCGAGGAATGGAGAGGGCCACACAGACCCATGGCGCTCAGCGGCTCCATCCCTTTGGGTCGTAGGCACGGACTGCTGCCTGGCCCCTCATCATCACTGCAGACAGCATCCCAGGAACCCAGGGTCCCCACATTCGTGTTGCTTGCTGTCCTGCTTGAAGCCCTGCAGGCCACGGCAGCCCTGGATGGGAAGCCTGTGTGTTTCGATACCATGAGAGCACATCACGGCCCAGGAGTGATGAGCTGGGATGGCCAGCTAAACCCTGAGGGTAAGGCGGTCAAGGAAATGCAAAACGCAGGCACGGAAATCTGAGGGTCTGCAGTTTGGGCACTGTAGGAAACACAAGCCCCTCAAAGCGGCTCTGGTGCGAACCTTTGGAAAGAGACGCAGCAGCGGAAGTAGGAAGGCTGAGGTGCGGGTGCCCTTGACATGGGGTCGGGCTGAGCAGCCACTGCAGGGGGACGCTTGCACAGGGACGCTGCGAAGATCCACGGCAGGGAAATTCAGTCGTGTTCCAGAAAATGGAAGCTGTGCACACGGGGCAAATCTTTTAGTTTTGCTCAGTGTATTTTAACATTGTTTGGAAAGCATCGCCAGCATTGCATAGGAAACGTATCAGACTGCTCAGCAGGCCGTGGCCCTGCACCCCACTCCTCCCCCGGAACCCTGAGCAGCTCTGCTGCTGCCGTCCTCGTCAGAGGAAGAAGCACATGTCACTTCCCGTGGAACTCACAGAACCTGCGGACACCTGAGGTGTGGAGCTGATCCCGAGCTTCTGCTTCAGCAGTCTGGAGGGCATCGCTCCGAGGCTCAGGACTGATGGCTGCTGCAGTGGACCTGGTGAAGACTCAGGCTTGATTTTAAGTAGTGGGGTTGATACGAAAAAGAAAGGGCGAGCGTCACGCAGAATTAGGACACTGGTGGGTGGCACAGGCCCAACTGTCATGGCAAATCATGTTTGGGACACTCAACTGTTTTGAATGGCAGCTTTTTTTGTAAGAAAGTGTTATCTCAGAGGGTGCTAGCGAGGACCCAAGGAGAAAACAGCGACTCAGCTTGGGACTGGCTCCTGAGTCACTTTCCACATGATGGCTGTCGTGGTGAGGAAGCTGGTGAAAGTGGAGAAGAGGGACCAAGGACGTTTCTAGCATGTTCTGCTGGGAGCTGAAGGATGCAGGGCAGTGCAGAAGAACTGGCTGGTGGAGGCGTGTCAAGTTAGACCTGCTTGTGACACTTTGCAGTGGAAAGGCTGGTGTGTGGGGTGGACAGGGGCTGGGGCCTCAGCCAGCGTCTTTCCTGTCCCCCTCAAGCCCGCTGCCCCTTCCTCCCTTCCTCCCTTCCCTCCCTCTCTCCCATTGCCCTCGCTCAGCTTGACCATGGCCCAGTGACATCCCCAGAGGATCAACTGCAGACCCAGAAGCAGGATTGGGAGAGGTGAAATGCCGTGTCCCACTTCGGGTGAAAAGAAGCGGAGCCTTAAGTCCTTCCGAGGAATTCCCTCTGGTTTCCGTGTCTGCCGTGGTGGAGACAAGCGAATCCGTCTTTCCCCTTTGGGTTGACCTTTTCTGTTTTCTGTCACAGTCACTCCTAAACCTGGGCAAATATTCGACTGAAAGTGAATCATTGTTAAGAATAGATGACCGTTCAAGCTTTCAGTTTGTGTTCTCTCCTGATTCAGTCACCTCCTGGCTCAAATGCCACGTCCTGTGCTGGGCCATCCTGACTTTCACAGAGGAGCCCTCCGCTCCCCCGCCTGCCCTGCCCTGCTGAGGCTCTGTGCGGATTTGTGCCGCTTGTTCTGCTGGGCTGTTCTGTCCAGGAAGGTGAAGAGTGCTGGACTCAGGGCGATCCTGCAGCACCCTGTCCACTTCCACTCAGGAATCTGAAACTGTAAGGGATACGCATTTGTATAGAAAAGGAATAAAAACTCACGAATAAGATATGATATTAATATATTATAGATTTAGGAAAGACAGTTTGTTGGAAAAAATGAATATATTTTGCTGGCTTTTCTTATATGACCATAATACATATCACGATCTTAACTCCTAGTTAAAAGACCGCAAAGCCAATTTGCATGCTTGAAAGCACGTGACTGTAACATGACAGTGTCATCGGTGGCTCACAGTCCCCTGATTGTTCACAGGTGTGGGTGGACGTGAGTGTGCAGATGAGTGTGCAGGCTGACAGGCCCCTCCCGGTGAGCAGTGCTGTTGCTCTGTGGCCGGGTCACCATGGATGCTCTGATCCTTCAGCCCCCGCGCTGCCTCCTGCCTTCTGGCTTTGCTCCCACTTTGTGTTCTTTGTAAAAGTCCCTGCACCTGCCCGCTTGGTGCGTCCCTGCACCTGTCTGCTTGGTGCGTCCCTGCTCAGCCTTCACGCCTCAGCTCTGTACCTCCTGAAAGCTTCCTGCCACTGTCCCTATCCCGGCTCCCCGGGGAGGAGCTCTTCCTTTCTCCAGCCTGCAGAGCTGTCATCCTCAGAAGGCTGAGCAGGAGCTGTGAAGGGAGGAGCACCCCGCCTCGTGGAGGAGTGCAATTTTTGACAAACCTCTCACACCGTGGTGTGAGAGATGTATTTATCAAGATATCTGACTTGCTGTAGGAGCACAAGGGGCTTACGGGAGCCCGGGGAAGGTGGGGTACCCGTCCTAGTGAGATGGCGGTGGGTAAATGAGTCATGGTGAGGCCTGTCAAGATCCGACTATAGCCAACAGGGTATGCAGTGGTGCTGCAAGTGTCGCAGAGGGGATTCGAGCTGCTTCCGGGGAACCCGGTTACTTGTGTGACTCAGGATGGGGCTGGTGGAATAGGTGGGAGTTGAATACTGAAAGCCGGCATCGAATGCTGAGCTGGGTGCTGGGTCTCACGGGAGCGAAGGAGGCGTGGTGGGGAGCCAGGGACTTGAGCATGGTAGCAGCTTGGCCGGGCCTGGGGTCACAGTGATGAGGGAGGAGACTGGTACCATCTATTGCTGATGGAGCTTCAGCTGTTTGCAGATTTCTGTTTAGAGTTCTTCATCAGATAAATTTGTAACACTTAGAGTTTCTCTAGGAAAAAAAAAAACGCCAAACTGAAGGCTATTATGTCAGTATATTCATACTCACGAATTGATTTAATTCCTGAATTATTCATGAGTAGCTTGATGGAACCTATGTCAGCGCCCCTCGAGGTGTTAGGGATCTGGGTTCCGGGAAAAGGTGATGATGGTGATGTTAAAACTTTGTGACCTTTTATGGTGATTCCTTAGTCCACCAGCTCAAAATGAGAGGATCATATTATTAAACAGACACGACAATTTTATTCGGAAAGAAAGACTGTAATGTGTTTCATTTCATCCCCGTGAACTCCTGTCCTCCGACATCAGGGATCTTCCTTTCCTCGGCCTTTCCTGACTGTCCCCAACCCACGCGTCCACTGCTGCCTCCTTTGGTGCTGTGTTCCCTCTGGTGT